CGAAGTATAAGTGGTGGAGCCAGAATTCAAAGGTGTTAGATGCTTTTTTAGGTTCTATTTATAAAATGTATCTGATCTGTGGATATGATAATTGTTTTAGCATTGAAATAATGGGGAAAAAACACAAAGGAAGCAAAAATAACAGCAGAAGGAAAATTTTGCCTCAAATGTGGCATCCAGTATGGTTAATACCTAAAATAAATGAGCTCATTCAAATTTATTACAGAAAATCCAAATAGGCAAACACACAAAGGCTATGAACAGACATAGGAAGTTATACAGAAGTGTCCCAGAACTTGGAAATCAAGTTTCCCTCTGAGTGGGAACAATTGGCACACAAACAGATGATCCAGCTATTTGTGCATGTTATCTTGATCAATAAACTCCAAAAAAACCAAACCCACTGCTGTCAAGTCAATTCCGACTCATAGTGACCCCATAGATTTTCCAAGGCTGTAAATCTATACGGAAGCAGACTACCACATCTTTCTCAGCTGCTGGTGGTTTCAAACTGCAAACTTCGGTTTGCTTTAACCACTCTGCCACCAGGTTCCAGTCCTTGGTCAATAAGTGGCCTGTAAATGCCTTGCAGGAGTCCTTGGGTGGCACAAACAGTTAAGCCCTCAACTACTAGCTGGAAGGTTGGCAGTTCACACTTACCCAGAGGGGCCTTGAAAGACAGGCCTGACAATCTGCTTCTGATACTTAACAGCCTTGAAAACCCTATGGAGCCATTCTACTCTGCACACATGGGGTCGCTATAAGTTGGAATCAACATAACAGCAACTAACAACAACAAATGTCTTGCAAGTTCCTTGAGTGGTGTAAACGGTTTGAATCCACCCAGCACCGCAGTGGAAGAAAGGCCTGGTGATCTACTTCGGTAAGATTATAGCCATTAAAAACCTAATGTTGTTCAGTTCTACTCTGAAACATTAGGGGTTGCCATGAGTTGGAATCGATTCCATAGCAATGAGTTTAAATGCCTTGCAAAACGGTCATGAAGAAGGATATAGTCTCAGGAAGATGTGATTGAGAGGCAAAAAACAGGTAACTTAATTGTGTTACAAAAGGAAGATTGTCTATAGAATCTAGGAAAGGAGAACGAAGAAAAAACAATCAGGCACTGTTTGTCCAGTGTTGTCCAGTAGACACACAAACACAGGAGTGTTCTGGTCACTAGAGAAATGTGCACTATGTGGAGAAGGGAGTAAAATTTACCAGACTGAAAGGAAATATCCTTCAAGACTAGCCAAGCCCCTGTGCTCTGATTTCATGCTTACCCTGCAACATCTGAGAGTCTATCTGGCCTCTCTGGCGTCCTGATAAGGGGAAGAAGGTGTTCTAGTCAGATCTGAGTATAAGGTCATTGGAAAGGTGTGACTCTTACTATAAATTAATAATTTGACATGGTGTTTTATAAATTAGTCTCTTGTGACTTTAGTTATTGTAGCAGATTGCATTTTCCAAGATGCTGGCAATAATATCTCCTATGCCACTTGTTTTTTTCTACAGTGTGACCTTGACATTCCTTCCATGGAGAGGTGGAGTCTATGCACCTTCCCTTAAATCTGGGCCAATCTCAGTGACTTACTTGAAACTACTGGAAGCAGCGAAAGTGATGATGATTAATTTCTGAGGCTAGGTCAGAAAACGTCATGTATCTTCCACCTGCTTCTCTTGGAATAACTCTCTCCTGAAGCCTTCAGTGGCTATGTAAGCTGTGGCCACCATGCTGCCGAGGAAGCCCAAACTAACCCACGGGGAAAATATCAACATGGAGACACTGGAGAGTAAACAAAGAGAGATGCCAGGCCAGCCCCCAGCTACTTAACTACCATCCACCTCTGCTTAGTTTGTCTGACTGCTATCACGAGAGAGCTCCAGTTAGAACTGCCAAGCCAAGCCCTTCCTGTATCCTGTTCCACAAAAACCGTAAGAGATAATAAAATACACATTGTTTCATGCCACTAGGTTTAGGCAATGATGCAGCAATAGGAATTGGAACAGTTCTCGAGAGTGCTGCCTGGGTTTAGGCCTACAATGCTAAGGACCAGACCCTGAACATTGGCACCCCTGCAGCTCCTGCGTAGCCACATGACTTCCCTCACTAAAGTCTCTATTTCCTTGCTGTTTCACAAGGTAACTGGTAAACCCACACATAGAAAAATATGCACTCTCAATAATAATCAAAGAAATGTGAACTAAAGCAATATTAATGTACTATTTCTTATCTGTTGAATGAGAATATTTTAATGTTCAATGATTACACCCAATAATGGCCCCAGATCAAAAACCAAATCTGTTACCATCCAGTCGATTCGGACTCATAGTGACCCTATAGGACAGGGTAGAACTGCCCCATAGGGTTTCCAAGGAGCGGCTGAGTGGATTCGAACTGTTGATCTTTCAGTTAGCAGTCTGAGCTCTTAACCACTGCACCACTAGGGCTCCAGTAATAATGGCCATGCTGTGGTGCAATTGTTATATTTAGGTAGTGCTGGTGGCATATCACTTTTAGAATGATGATATTCATATCTTTCTACCCACGCACCTCATCCCTTAGGATATTGTAAAAGGAAATACGCACAAATATATTTATTGCAGCAAGATTTGTAAATTGAAAACAACACACATCTAAAATTTGGGGAACGTTTAAGTAAACATGGAACATATCCTCACAGAATGCTATGGAGCCATTAAATATCATAAACTTATAACACCACGGACATAAAATACCAAGTAATGTGGTGAAATGAGTTCCTTTATGTGGCCTTTTGCCTTGGTTCTTTAGAAAAATAGCTTGAGAGATTTTTTTCCCCTAAACCCTAAGAAGTTACCTTTGCTCTGGTTTTCTACCACAGAGGGTTTGTTACTTTTGTCCAAGTTGATTGACATTTCCTGGATAAGCTGTAAACAACTTGATGGTTTGACACTTTTTGTCTGGCCCTGGGCTGCAGCCTGCCCTGTGATTGGTCTATTTACACACCTTTTAGAGACTGGTCAATACACTTATGCAAATAAAGTGACTATAGCCTACTATGCAAATGAAGTGTCTGTGGTCTACCAAGAGGGGATTGGTCAGTTTGTAGCCCTGATGGAAGGGCCATGCCTTGAAATTGACCAGGAGTTTGCTTATATATGCAGCCAACACACAGAGGTTGGTAAACAAAAAGAAGAAAAAACAGGAGAAAATGCAAGAAAGGCAAAGAGAGAAAAGTGGAGGTCAGGTTCTGACACTACTACTACCATTTCACAAGTAAAAAAGTAAAATACCAAAATACATAAACACTAGGATTAGATATCTAAAAAAATCAATCATTGTTTTAGGGTGGTAGGATTAGGGTTATTTATCTTACACATTTATTTTAAAATATAGCATGTTTATAATAAAAATATTTCAAAGAATGAAAATGAATATCTTTTATTTCTATAATACAAAGGTAACAACACAGACTAGTCACTCATTTTTTTCAAAGGGCATGGCAAAAGCATATTCTGAGACAACAGGGGTGGATATCAAATTTTTTTAAAGCCTGAAAATTGGCTCATTCAGCACCCACTCCAGTCCTTTTCTAGCCAGATTAAAAAGCTAAAAAAACATTTTTAAGACTCCCTTGTAGCTGGGGTTCTGCATTCTGCATTTGGGTTCTGCCAGTAATTCAGGAAAGAGAGAAGAGAGGCTTGCAGGAGAGTCGGAAAGAGTTAAACAGAATAGATAGATAGCAATTTGAGGTGTAAAAATGAGACGACTTGGTGATGGATTTGATATGGAGTGAAGAAGGTGTCCAGATGACTTTTAGAATGAAGGCTCCTGCAATTGGATGGGTCCTGCTCCTCACTGGGATGGAGAGACTGGGTTTTTGGTATAATGGTAGTCTAATTATCAATGTTTTAACTTCATCTTACGGAGGATACCGAGACTTTGTTAATTAATTAGTCCACGTAACGGTGTAGTATTACTTTAATGTTGAATTAAAACTCTTCATGTTTTCTTTAGTATTTTTGCATTTATATTTGTAAATTAGATTGGTGCTCAGTTCTCCCCTCCCTTCCCCCCGCCTTTCGTTACTATCGTTGTCAGGTTTTGGTAGCGGTTTTAAGAAACCTTTGGTGATTTGCTTTCATTCTTTCAGAGTTTCAATAAATATAAACAACCAATTCTAAGATAAGGACGTGTTTAACAACTATGATAAATTTCTTGCCGCATCTAGGTCTCCACTAAAGTCTGGCCTGGCGTAGTCACCTATCACCTATGTGGGACCGAGTGGAATGTTTGCTGTTAAATAGCAGCTCATACTGCATCCATTGACGGCTTGGGGAAACTCACAGTTAGCAACCTACAACTTTAGACTGGACAACTGTCAGGGGAGTCTCTTACAAAGCATGCCTCCTCCTTTATTTAAGTATTAAAAAAGAAAAAAATCTTAGATGGTTTCGGATTCATTCTATGTAGATTCCGTCCTTGTAACTAATTTTTTTTTTTTTTAATCTAAGCTCCCTTCCCTCCCCAAAGCAGCAAGGGTAACTAGATCCGCGGCCACGTAGGAGCCTCTCCTGGCCCAAAATCTGGAGAGTCTCGAGGCACAGGCAGACAATCACGGAACGCTTTCCTCTCCCAACTTGGGACTGTCGTCCCGTCTGGAGGAGTTCACGATTTCTCGCTAGGGTACGAGCCCTCCCCAGGTCCAGATACGGGTCCACTCTGAGTTCCCAGACCACTCCCTGGCAGAAAACTAGGTGCGCCCGGGTCCGGGAAGGACTGGACGCAGCAGGCCCGCCCCCGGCGCGCGACTGTGGCTCCTCCCCTAGCTCGAATGTGGCCGGGGGGCGGGAGGCAGGAGGAAACGGAGTGGTTGCTGCCGCCCGGGGAGGGGCGGGTGTCTTCTCCACGCTTGCAAACACCGCGGGGTGCCCAGGCCCGGACACGCACCGCCCGAGCTCCCGCGCGCCCTCGCCAGCTCCTCGCCGCGCCCCGCACCCGCTCCCCACTCCTCTCCTCGCTGCCCCCAATGGCGTTCAAGGCCCGGGGCTGGCGGCCCCCGCCGCCGCCGCTGCTCCTGCTGCTGCTCTGGGTGACCGGGCAGGCGGCGCCCGTGGCTGGCCTGGGCCTGGGCCCGGATGCGGAGCTGCAGATCGAGCGGCGCTTCGTGCCCGACGAGTGCCCGCGTACCGTGCGCAGCGGCGACTTCGTGCGCTACCACTACGTGGGCACCTTCCCAGACGGCCAGAAGTTCGACTCCAGGTACCGCGCCCTTTGCACCCAGCCCGGCCTCAAAGGCTGCAGCGCTCGGTCTCCTGTTTTCCAGCCTCCGCACAGGCCTTTCACTCCGGACGGACCTCCCTCAGCTCCGCCCCGAGAACCCCGCCCTCCTCCCTTTCCCTCCTCCCTCCGGGATTGCTCCCCCGACCCAAAATCCCTCAGGCCTAAGGGTGATCCTCCCGGCCCATGCGCTTCACTGGAACGCCTGCCCGCCTGGGCTGGAATCTTGGATAGGACGTCGCGCTGCGTTGTTGAGATAAATCACGTCCGCCCTCTCCTTCCAGCGCACTTACACACGCGAAATCTGCATAAAATGGCCACTCATCGAAAACTCCCAGGAGCAGATGAAGTCTGGTTTCCTTCTCCCTTTACTGATGACAGGGAGCCCTCAGAGCGCAGTGGTTAAAGCGCTTGGGTGCTCTCTGAAAGGTTGGCGAGTTGAACCCATCAGTTACTCTGTGGGAGAAAGATGTGGCAGTCTGCAAGCGTTAAGATTACAGCCTTGGAAACTCTATGGGGCAGTTCTACTCTGTCCTGCAGGGTCGCTCTGAGTTGGAATCCACTCGACCGCGAGGGTTTGATTTTAGGTTTTTACTGATAACAGTGTTGATGATGAAGGTAATGATAGCAGCAGACATTTATTGAGCTATTACAATGTGCCAAGCATAGTTCGCAGTGCTTTACTCATTGCTGTAGAGCCCATTCTGACTCGTGTTACAGAATAGAACTGCTCCATAGGATTTTCTTTGCTATAATCGTCACAGAAGCAGATTGCCAGGCCTTTTTTGCATGTTACTGCTGGATGTGTTCCAACCACACCAACTTTTCAGTAAGTAGTCCATGGCAAACCGTTTGCACTACCCTGGGACAACTAAGTGCTTTCCAAACAAAAACAAACCCAATGCCGTAGAGTCGAATTTCTACTCATATCAATCTTATAGGACAGACTAGAACTGCCTTTAGGCTTTCTAGGGCTGTAAATATTTACGAAAGCTGACTGCCACATCTTTCTCCTCAGGAGCCGCTGGTGGGTTCAGACCCCCGACCTTTAGTTTAGCAGCTAAGAGCTTTAACCACTGCTCCACCAGGGTTCCTCCTAAGTGCTTTACGTATCATTAATTCATTTAATCCTTAAACCAATCCTATGAGGTAGTACTGTCATTACCCCTATTTTACCAGTGAGGTAACTGAGGTTATGGAGCCTAAAAAAGCTTGTTTAAGCGGTGGAGTCAGATTCTACCTGGCGTCCAGGGTCCGAGAACATAACCACCACATTATACTGCCCTCCCACTCAGGCTTTACAGAAACTTACTGGGAGGGGAGACGCTCTCTTGGGCAGGAGGTAGTCCAGAGCAGTCGCCCAGCTTTCTCATGGGGCTCAGCACCAGGCCTGTGCATCCTTCCCTCACCTATGCCCCAAGATCGCAACACCTCTCCCCAGCTTCTCTCCAGTTTAGCTTTAGGGTTAACACCTCGAAGCAGCCCATTTCAGCCCTCTTTTCCTCTAGCTCTAGGCCTCTCTCCTCCACAGGACTTTTTACAAGCTCTGGTTTGTGCCCACAGATTTCTTAGTGAACTACTGCCTAGGGAAAGAGAACTATTTGTTGAACTTCTGCTATGTGTGTGAGACTTTGTTAGGCTCATTCATGAAGTTATCTTTTCTTTAATCCTCTTAGCCTTACCTGCCTTTTTTTGAAATTTCAGACAATGAATGAGTATACATAAGCTGTTTAGCATACTGCCTAGCACATAGTAAGTGCTTAGAGATGGTCATTCTTACTATTGTTTCAGTTGCTTCTTTTGTTTTAAATAGTTTATTGAGATCTAATTCACATACCATACAATTCACCTATTGAAAGTGTACAGTTCAGTGATTTTTAGTGTATTTACAGAGTTGTACAACCATTGCACAATCTAATTCCAGAACATTTTCATCACTCCTTAAAAGAAACCCCGAACCCACCAGCAGTCACTCCCCATTTTTCCCCAACGCCTCCCCCCAGCCCTAGGCAACCACTAATTTACTGTCTGTCTCTAGAATTTGCCTATTCTGGATATTTCATATAAATGGAATCAGACAAATACGTGCTCTTTTGAAACTGGCTTCTTTCACTTAGCATAATGTTTTCAGGGTTCATCCCTGTTGTAGCATGTATCAGCACTTCATTTCTTTTAAATAATATTCCATTGTGTGGATTGGATATACCATATTTTATTTATCCATTCATTAGTTGGTGGACATTTGAGTTGTTTCCAGTTTGGGGCTTTTATGACTAATGATGCTATGAACATTCATGTACAAATTTTTGTGTGGATATTTGTTTTCAGTTCTTTTGTGTATATATCTAGGAGTGGAATTGCTGGGTCACGTGGTAACTTTAACTTTTTTTTTAATATGTATATTTTTATTGTACTTTAGATAAAGGTTTACAGGACAAATAGTTTCTCATTAAACAGTCAGTACACATATTGTTATATGACATTGGTTAACAACCCCGCGACATGTCAACACTCTCCCTTCTCGACCTTGGAGGACACCCCCTTTTTTTTTGGTGAAAATATACATAGGTAGTTATACCGTTTCAAAAGTTTCTACATTTACAATTCAGTGATATCGATTACATTCTTCCAGTTGTGCTGCTATTCTCACTATCCTTTTCCAAATTATTCCATCACTTCTTTGTTTAACCTTTTAAGGAATTGCTAGACCGTCTTCCAAAGAGGCCACACCACTTCCCATTCTCACCAGTAATGTATGAGGGTTCTAGTTTCTTCATCTCCTTGTTATTGTCTGTCTTTTTTATTAGAGCCATCCCAGTGGGTGAAGTGGTATTTCATTGTGGTTTTGATTTTTATTTCCCTAAGGACTAATGATGTTGGATATCTTTTCATGTGTTTATTGGTGATTTGTATATCTTCTTTCAGTTGCTTCTTTAGTTAGAAAATAAGGACGAACTTTCTGCTGGCGCTGATGGTAATTAACAATTCCCACTAGAACAAGTTGTCTCATACTTTTTATTCTAGGGATGGCAACCCTATGAAGGACAGTGGAAAGAGCACAGAGGAGCTGCTATCCATCCATTAAGCAAATGTTTATGCAGTGCCTACCCCTGAAGACTTGTACACTCGTTGTACTTGTAGCTTACAGCCTAGGCAATTGCAACCTAGTGTGAGAAGTATAGTAAGAATAAGAGCGTACACTTAGAGAACATTTATTATGTGCCTTTAAATATTTTAATTCATTTCATCTCACAAAACTGTGAGGCAGGTGCCTCATTATAGATGAAGAAACTGAGGCTTAGAAAGTTCAAGTAACTTGCCCAAAGGACTTAGCTACTTAAGTCATGCAGTGGGGATTTGAACCCCAGCAGTTTAGTGCAAAATCTATGGTCGGTGGTGTATAGTCTATTCACATACGTGATAGAAGAAAAGCAAGAAGTTATGGAAACGCACAGAAGACTTAACTTGGTGTAGTGTGTGTGGGAGTGGGATGGTGAGGATTGTCAGGATGGGTTCTCAGAGCAAGTAAATGCTGGGATAAGCCCTGAAGGATGACTAAAATTTACCCAGGAGGAGCGGAGGGCTGTGGGCTGTGGGGAGAAGAAGGGGTTTGACTGGTAGAGGGGGGAGCATATGCAGAGGCCTGAAGGTGTGTTGGGGGAAGTGAAAGCTGTTCATTATGGCCAAACTTGGGGTAAGAATAGGGAAGTGACAAGACGGGTAAAGGAGCAATGATAGGAAGCCAGAAATTCCAGAAGGCTGGGGCCAACTTTTAAGAAATCTTATCTGTCTGGCTCTGGAGTTTGGATTTTGTCTAAGGACAATGGAAAGCCATTGAAGAGTTTTAATCAGGGGAGACAACGATTAGACTTTTATTTTACAAAGGTTCCTGTGGCTGCGATGTGGAGAATGGAGTGGAGGAGGCAGGGAGGTGGGTCTGGAGAATGTGCAGATCTCCTGAGAGCTGGTGGTGGCCTGCCCTTGAGTAGTGGCAGAGTATTGGCTGGCTGGGAGGCAGTGATGGAGAAGTCAAGGGCCACACCAAGCCCCATCTGGCTGTCTGGGTCACTGAGTAGATCGTGGGGCCATTGAAGAAGTTGGGGGCAGGAGAAGTGGTGTGGAAGGAGTTCAGCTTTGGCCATCTGGAGTTTCAAGTGCTGTGTATCCCCAGATACCTAGTAGGTTGTCGATCTGGCACTAGGGAATGAGATTTGGCTGGAGATGAGGATTTGGGAGGGTGGATGATGTGCAGGTGAGAAGAGAAGAAGGCTGCTATGGAAGGAGCCCCTAGACCCAAGAGATTTAGGGCTAAGTAGAGGAGAAGGCATGGGCAGAGGACTGGACATGACAGCCATTTGGTGTGGTATCTCATAGGCCAAGGGAAGAGAGGGTATCCAAATGGACTGAGTAGTAACATTGTAAATGGGAAAATGCCTCTGAGAAGTGGTGCAAGGTAGCATGATGGAGTTTGTGTTGAATTTGACAAGAAGGAGGTCTCTGGTCAGCTCTGACAGGCTTCACAATAAAGGGTCCCAAACAGCTGGAGAAAAATGTAGAACAAAATTCTAACTCGTAAAAAAAGATCAGACTTACTGGTCGGACAAAGACTGGAGAAACCCCGAGAATATGGCCCTCAGACACCCTTTTAACTCAGTAATGAAGTCACTCCTGAGGTTTATCCTTCATCCAAAGATTAGACAGGCCCATAAAACAAAATGAGACTAAATGGGCACACGAGCCCAGGGCAGGACAAGAAGGCAGGAGGGAAAAGTAGAGCTGGTAACGGGGAGCCCAGGGTCAAGAAGGGAGAGTGTTGACTTGTTAGGGGGTTGGCCACCAATGTCACAAATCAATATGTGTATTAATTGTTTAATGAGAAACTAATTTGCTCTGTAAACCTTCATCTAAAGTACAATTAAAAATAAAAAAGAAGGAGGTCTCTGGTAACATTGATGTGAGCCATTTCAGTGGAGTCTGGAGTC